GATAAGTCTCCGACGAAGGGCTAACGCTCGAAACGTCAGCTTTTGTAATCATTACGGTGGCCAATTTACCATTTCAACTTTGTTGATATATCCAAATTATTTCGTTACTCCCACCGACACAGCCCCAAACAGTTTCTTTTGAAACTATCAGCCTTTATTCATTTAAATTGATTACACCAAGTTCAAATTAGGCTTTGGGGAAGATTAGGGTTGTTATAGGTACACTGTAGTTTAGCTGTTATACATGTTTGTATAGCTATTTGTTGTCTCACTGTCTTGTATCTCGCCAGTGTTTGTAAATTGAGGAAGTCAAAAATTGTGCCTTACAAACGAAATGTTCTGTGGCTTCAGCAGGCCTTAAAACAGCATATACAGTTTGATTAACTGTAGAAAATGCTGTTGATATTATTTTTAAAGGGTTACAGAAACAACAGCTCTATACTTATAATTGCATTTGAGGAACTCTGAAACTATGGGTAATCAAAATTGGCAATTTCATGTATGTTTGTGAAATTATTTCCTAACTTCACAATTGTACCATTTGCATGGTTACCTTTTAATATCATGGGTGACAAATTATGCTTGCAATCCTGTTTTTTTTTAAACTTGTTTATTTTGTATCAAGGCAGCATTATTAGCCATAGTAATTGTATAATTCCACTTGTGAAATAAATTATGGAGGAATTTGTCACCCACAATATTATACAGTAAAGCGATCATTAGGTCAAAGGAAAAATGATTTGTAACCATTGTTTTGTTGTGTTGACTGCCACTAGAAGCTCCAAACTATGCTATCGAAATGGTGTGTCTGTCTGTAAACGTAACATGAATTTCCTTCAGCCAATAACAATCAATATGACCTATGTGCCATACATCGTTTTTGCTGGTTAATTTCCTTGTTTCTATAACATCTGCAATCAAGAAACGTCACTGCAACGTTTCAACTTCTTTTGCACTGTTGCATAACTTTGTCCTGTGTATAAGTAGTCCACACAATTGTACCCTATATCTATGAGTACCTATTTGTCTGTGTGTGTTTGTGTGTGTGCATGTGTGCAAGTGTTATGATTGTCAACTTCTCTGTTCAAGCTTGATTCTTTTTCAGGCCTAGTTGCAATAGACTCATTGCACTTATAACTCATTGCACTTATAACTGCAAGAATCACATAATTTCATCATTTGTCACTGCAGTGTAACATATGATTATTTCATAAGACGCATTCAAAATGGGCATTATTGCATGGTTTGCACAGGCCTGGAATACTCCTTGAAAAACTGCTAGGTCCTTGAAAACTCCTTGAAAATGGTTTTCTCCTTGAAAACTCCTTAAATTTGAAGAAGGAGTGCTTGAATTTTATGAAAAAGGTCTTGAAGACTTGATAATACAGCAAATCAAGCTCATTTTAACATCAAAAGGTTGCATTAATATCTAGCATCAGTTGAGAAAATTAATGGGTTTATAGTCTCTTTGAAAATGGCTAAGGTTTTTATAGCAGGACAATTTAGTGTTTCTTATTCAAAGTTTTCAACCATGCCTTTAATGGCTTTTTCCCAGTTGTCTTGTGTAGCCCCCCTCTTAACAGGTAAAGCCATGAGGGAAATGTAGCTTGAAGCATGAAATGTATTAACTTTGGTCCTTCTTAAACGAATTGTGAAGATTGCAAAGGAAATAGCTGTTTTCGTTTGGTTGAAAGACATTATTTGCACTTTGAGGTATTGCTTTTTTGGAGCGACTGTGGAAAATTTTTAAATTGTGCCTGTTTAAATGGACTCCTTGAATGTTGTTAAAAGTCCTGGAAAAGTCCTTCAATAATAAGTTATCAAACCTGTATGAACCATGTATTGGCAAATAATGCACTCCCATTGGCCATTGAGATTCAAGGATTTTGTCGAATGCATGAAATTGGAATGTTAAAGGGACTTACTACATACTGTAGCATATTGGTTGCACATTTGTGCTGCTGTCAATTTTTCCTTATGAATTTTTTCTGACTTGGGTACCAGGCCACCTGTCTCAATTAGCCCATGTAGTTATTACAGGCTGCCTTTACCCTTGAATTGTATTATAAGTCTTGTAAGTGAATTGCTGTTGTTATGGTTCCTTCATTGTGTCTGCACAGTAAAAAGTAATATTCGTCATTTGCCAAGAAGATTATTATAAGCAAATCAATAGTGGGAAAAATATCAGTTACCTGTACCAATAATTTATATCAACTCACTTGAAACTCTATTAGATAATGTGAAGCAACCCTATAGCAGCACTAGTGATGAAGAGTCTGAGGAACTGTATGCATCAAAAGGGAAGAAATGGAGGAGAATAGCCTTGGGTATGGAGTCAGACACTTGTGATAAGGACAAGGGAGATACTGATAGAAGTGCATGGAAGGAAGCCAGTGACCCAGGCAAAAAGAAAAAGTGCCAGGGTCGAAAAGCAACAGGCAAGGGTAAGACTGGTCACAAAGGGCAGTCACTGTCCAGGTCATTACAAGGAGTGAAATTAGTAGGAATTGTTTTCTTGTAGGATAAAACTATAAATTTATTGTGGATATACATTGTAGTAATTAAGGGTTGTCAAGGGTAAGGCTAGTCGTACTGGACAGTTGCCAGACTACAACAAGGTGAAAGCAAGGAATGTGTACACTAACCATCTGTTTTCTTAACTGTGTATTGTTTCAAAGTTTGGGTAATGCTGTTATAGAAAAATTAATTTTTTTGACATGTTTGTTTACATGGCTTACTATCTTGTTTGTGTTAACAAAGATGCAGCTTTACTTACAGCTTTCTGCTGTTACATCGGGGACATGACCACTTGGTTGCATTATGTAAGACAAGTATTAATACACAATCCCAATTCCTGGTGCACTGACATAATATCTTTGTAACATTGTGGGGACAAGGTCATTTGGTAGCATTATAAATGTGGGTTATTGACCAAGTGTGAGGTTGGATAGGGGGATATTGGTCAAGTTCTTTTTTTCATGTGTGTTATGGACCTCGCCCTTCAGGCTCGGTCCACAACACGCATGAAAAGAAGATCAATATCCCCCTATCCGGACCGAGCAAGCTTGGTCAATAAAATAATGATGCTGCTGCAAATAATAGCATTATTTCTAAATATAACTTTGATATAACGTGCCCTCTGATTGGCTAAAAAGTTATGTTTAACCAGAGTATAAAACAAGAAAAACGTGTTACATAGTTTTGAGAAGGAGTTGTTCGGCTGGCCGTGTGGCAAAAACAAAGGAACATAGCAATACAGACAGCTGAAATTGAGTGAAATCGATTAATTGACAGACAAGCGATATTTTTACCAATTGGACTGTGGAAAGGCCTAACAAAATATTAGTGGGCAAGATACGAGCGGTGTTGAAGCTATTCAATGGTCGCTGGAGGGGCCGGCAGTTTACAGCTCCTCTTTGTGCTATCTACTAAAGAAAACAAATTTGCTCAGACATTCCAAGAAGGAAAAAATCTCAGAACGTTCACAAAAGGAGGAAGTTTTCGATCATTAACCAAGGGGAAAATTAAGCTTGAACTTATTTATGACATGAACAAGTCTTGGGGAAGCCACATTTCTCGCCGTTTGCTCAACAAATGGCCATGCCTCAGGTTTTTAAGATAGCCAGCTAAAAAGTTGATTTCAAGAATCTTTTAAGGTGAGAAAAATTTGAAAAGGCTAAATTTCTTTTATCCCATTCACGTCTGAAAATTGTTGCTGTGTAGCTTAAACTAATTTGGGAAACTTGTTTACAAACAGCAAACAGCTTGCAAGAAAGCCACCTTGCTCCACTAAACCATGATCTCTCAGAAAATTTCAAAACTTTTTCAGCTGAATACATGAAAAAAAATAGTACCCTCTTTTGTCTTTGTCATCTTGTTAGGAAAAATTTTGTTATCTTGCTTTAATTTCTTGTTTTGTAAACATGTGTTGCCAGTTTTGTCGGTAATAGGCTGTATGCTGCTCGGTTTGAAATGTCCTTGTGGTTATATTATAAAGCAAATAAAGAAACCTTTTGCCATGCATTATACTGTCATAAAACACTCCAGTCATTTGAGAACACTTGGGAAATTTTAAAAAAATTATCTCGTGTTCTCAAATGCCCGTCGTGTTTTATGACAGTCTTCTTTATTATTTTGTTGTCAGGCAGCTGTCCTCCATACAAGGTCCAGATCTGCCGTACAAGGTCCAGATGAAAAAATCTGGACCTCTCGGGAACCAATCATTTTACTACATTTAACTGAGGACCAGTGCGCTATATAATAAAGGATAGTTATTCCTAATCCTTCCTGATTTACTGACACAATATCTCTGTAACATTGTGGGGACATGGTCATTTGGCTGCATACTTTGTGTAAGATAGTAATTGTTATGTTCGCAATCCTTCCTGATATACAGTACTCTGACACAACATCTGGTTAACTTTGTGGGGACATCACTGGCTCTTTGAGTATCAACAGTTTCTGTTCTTTTGCTGAGATTTTCTGATTCTATTATTTCATTATATCCACAATATAAAAACAATCTTAGCATTTTGCAAATGCACTGGAGAAAATCCAAATCAATAACAGGGAAAAAAGACAGGATTGTGCTGTAAATTTATTTTACCCTTGGAAACCAGCTTACTTAAAATTGGCAAGTATCAGATAACTTAAAACAATAACTACAGCTGTAAACACACTGTGAAGAGTAAGAAGGCATATAAATTATGTATCAATAACAACTAAAAGTCAGTAGTCACTTATGAGTATATCAACTTGCTTGAAATTAACTCTACCAGATAATGGAAAACGACCCCATAACAGCTCTAGTGATGAAGAGTCTGAGAAACTGCATGCATCAAGAAGGAAGAAATGGAGGAGAAAAGCCTTGGTTATGGAATCAGACACTGGTGATGAGGATGACAGAGAAACTGATAGAAGTGCATTAAAGGAAGCCATTAACTCAAGAAAAAAGAAGTGCCAGGATCAAAAAGCAAAAGGCAAGGGTAAGGCTGGTCACAAAGGGAAGTTACTGTACTTATGTAACAAACCAGTTCCTTGCAAAGAGTGAAATTTATAGTAGGGATTGTTTTTTGTAGGCTAAAACTATTCTGTAATGTCTTGGATGAAGTAACACTCTCTGTGTGTGACCTTGCGTGGTACATTTTCTACTTGTTTTCATTACTAAAATATAAAGATAGTTATACATTTTGCATTTATACATAGTATGGGTTACAAATTCGTTTTGCACTTCTCTTGTTTGCATTATGGAAGATAGTTTCACATTTTATCTTCTACTGTAGCAAATAATCAAGGTAACATTTTGTGGATATGTTCACTAGTTATCCTTAAAGACAAAAGTTACATCCTTTTTTATTACGACTCCAAATCCATAGATGTCCTTTTGGGAATATACTGTAGCATATTGGTCACTTAGTTCAGTGATTTCAAAAGTACTCAGTGCCCAATGGAAATTACCAGCTACTGTAGTTCAAGTGTTTGCCCCAAGTTAATATTAAGCAATAGCACATCTAATTTTAATTTTTTATAAATGAATTTTTATCTTTCTGAATATTTTTAATCTATCCTGCTACTTCTATTATAGAATTTTGTAATTATTTATATATTTATTTATTTATCAGTTTTTTGTAATGCTGTATAATCTAGTTAGAGGGCCACAGTGAGGTTTGTCAGCTATACAGCTGTTATGTGTCCCCCTCTATAAATAAAATCCTTACTTACTTACTAAGTACTTTCATGCCCATTCTTCTGATAGCATCTCTTATCATCACAAGAGGAGCTTAACCCAAAACCCTAAAAATTGTCTAACCCTAACTTTTTACCTGATTTTAACTGAACTAGAGCTATGTAGTTGTTTCATGCCAAAAAAGTGTATTTTCCACAAAAGTCTTGGTGCTTTGTTTTAATAATGCTCCGGCTACTTTTCAGTTGGAGCCTCCTATTTTTTTTCATTTTGGAAAATCCTGACACAAAGTTGTTATCATGAAAGACATTAATTTTTATTCATTGGTGCAAGCTTTCTACACAATACCTGGGAGGCAGACATACAAGAAAATTAATGTTAATGTAATTTACTTTGGATGAACATCATCCTTATAGGTCCTTCACTGTATATCCGCTCAATAAACGATTTTTTTATTATTATTGGCAATTTATGCTTGTAAATAGATAAACCGAATCACTAACAACTAAAAGTCATTAGTCACTTACCAGTACTGTATATTAACTAACTTGAATCTCTATTAGATAATGTGAAACGACCCTATAATAGCACAAGTGATGAAGATTCCGAGGAACTGCATGCATTAACAGGGAGGAAATGGGGGAGAAAAGCCTCGGTTATGGAATCAGGCACTGATGATGAGGATGAGGGAGATACTGATAGAAGTGCATTAAAGGAAGCCAGTAACTCAAGAAAAAAGAATTGCCAGGATTGAAAAGCAACAGGCAAGGGTAAGGCTGGTCATAAATGGCAGTTACTATCAGTAATGAAATAACAAATCAGGTCATTACAAGGGGTAAAATTCATGGAAATGTTTTTTTGTAGGCTGTGTATGGTACATGGAGGAAGTAATACTGTTTGGTTGTTGCTGTTTTCCAATCATTTGTGTGGCCTTGTATGGGGAGTTGTATGTGTGGCCTTGTATAGCCAAACCTAAGTTATGCAAAATCTGCATATCATTGTGGGGATGTCTCTACATCTTGTTTGCATTACGAAGATAGTTGCACATTAACATATTTCCACTGTCACACCGAGTGACATTGTTTGGACACGCACACTTGTTTGCATCAAACTATAATAGGTAATAATGCTGTTACAAAAAAATGTGTGACATTCTGGGGACATGTTCACTTGTTTGGGTCACGACAGATACATGTACATCTGGCTGTACATTCCACCCCACACACACACACACACACTTAATTTGCAACAAAAAGAAAGCAGCTTTAGGAACTTTAATCTGTTATCGCCATGGCCACTGAATAGGCCATAAATTTGAGCTCTGTTATTGATTTCTGTTGATGTTAAATGTGTCACATGGTTGTTTTGCAGTGGTAATAACCTGTGTAAAGAAGAAGGAGGGCAATGCTAGGGTCTATGACAAACGGCAAGCCTGCTTTTTCTGTGAGAAGCTATATGCAAAAATTTCTCGCCATTTGGAACGTCAACACAGTGATGAATCAGAGGTAGCCAAAGCATTTGCACATCCACGCAGCTCAAAAGAACGAAAGAAAGCTCTTGAAAAGTTACGTCTCCAAGGCAATTTCCATCACAACTTACGTGTGTTGGAGTCGAAAAGTGGACAGCTTATCGTTATGCGAAGACCAGCAGGGGAAGAGGTATGTTCTCAGGATGACTTTCTGCCTTGCCCTGACTGTCTGGGCTTTTTGAAGAGAAAAGACCTTTGGAGGCATGTTAAAGTCTGCAACTTCAGAAGTACTGGTAGTCACGTGGATGATGATGAAGGTGATGACATGAAGTATCAAAGGCTTCAGACTAAGAGTAAATTGCTCGTCTTGCCATCAATAAGCCCTGGTAAGAGCTCACTGTTCCAAGATGTTGTGGCCTCCATGAGATCAGATGATATATCTCTTGTAGCTCGGAATGATTTAGTTATTTCTGCTCTTGGAACCATGATGGTAGAAAAGCTTGGCACAAAGAGATCTCACGACATTTCACAAAAGATGCGACACCTTGCTCGTCTACTAATATCACTTAGGGAGACAGAAGACAATGATAGTGCCAACCTGTCGCAGTTTCTTCGTCCCAGTAAGTTTGATGCTATTGTGAAGTGTGTCTTGCAGATTTCTAAGTTTGATGTAAAGAGAGGTGAAAAGGAAGTCGGAACACCCTCCTTGGCTTTGCATATTGGTCACTCATTGAAGAAATGTGTTGCTTTTGTTCGTGGGAAAGCACTCCGGGAGAAAGACAAAGGTGTACTGGAAGATGTTGAACACTTTGAGAAACTAATGGAAGCAGAGTGGAATTACCGTGTTAGCCATCACTCTGTAACCACTCTGAATGATAGGAAACATAATCAGCCTGATCTTCTACCTGTCACCAGTGACCTTCAGAAGTTAAAGGAGTTCATCACATCAAAGATCATTGCACTCACCAAGCAACTGCAAGGCACAAACAAACCACTTCTACAAAGCTGGCGAGACCTAAGTGAATTTGTGCTCAACAGATTGATACTTTTCAACAAACGGAGAGGAGGAGAAACAGCTAAACTTTATCTGGAGACTTACATCAATCGTCCTGACTGGAGGAAAAACACAAATCAAGATGTTGTAGCATCTCTCAATGGCATTGAACAGCACTTGCTTAAAAGGTATGATTATTTCTTTTATGACTCTATTATATGAACACCCGTGAAATACCGGGCAAGCTTCCACACATGATGATGTCTTCACATGTGAAGATACACTGTATAAATAAAATTATTGTATCTTCACAGTGTGAAGATAGCATTGTCCAGATTGTCACTAATGCTGAATACGAAATCTAACTTTTGGCAGGGAAAGGCAACAATTTGGAATTCAATTGGTGTTTATACAATAAATAGAATGCGCTCACTCTTGAAATATGTGTCAACACTTGAAGCAAAATTTTGTATCTCTGCGTGCCCGTGTAATATCCTCTATTTAGATTATGACTGTTTTGTTAGAGTACATGATTTCTTGAAGTGCTTTACTCCATCTTTCCATTCAACTCCATTCTCTTTGCTATCTGCATGTAGCGATAATTTAAAAAATTAAGTTACCACTGTCCATGAAGTTGCCTCACTGAATCTTGAAGAATTCATTAAAATTAATTTGTGTACAATATTTTACATATGCCCTTTAAGTTTTCTATTTTCCCTATTCACTATTCTCCTTAGCCTGTTTATTTCCCAGAGAGTGGAGAGTGTTTATACGAGTAAGAAGGAGGAAAGGAGGAAGAAAACATTGACAATGTCTTTGAACTACAAAGAGTTCATGTTATTTATTATCATTATGGCCTCAAATTGCGTATGAAACACTTTGCACACCTTTGGTAATTTTCATTCATTTACTTTATTTTTCTTTCTAGGCTCGATATGGTTGAAATTAAGGGGAAGAGGGGCCGGAAGGTGCCACTTCTTTTAACAGAGGAGGTTAAACAAGCAATGGATGTGTTGGTGGAAACGCGAAGTGAGGTTGGCATCAATCCACAAAACCCCTACCTATTTGCAACAACTGGAAATGGTTCTTTGGGTCATTTAAGACCATGGGAGTGTATGAGAAAGGTCGTTACAAGTGATGAGTTGAAGCTCGAAAAACCTGAAGCTGTGACAAGTACAAGGCTTCGAAAATATGTGGCTACTGTATCACAAATCTTAGACCTTCAAGAAAATATGGTGCATTTAAGAACGGTTGGCTAATAGACAGTGGTCAATCGTTAAGGATTGCATAAGTAATATCAATTCTCAAGCAAATACTCTGCAAGAAAACAACTGGATGTTAAAAGCTGTACAGTACAAAGTAACAGAATGTTTATCTTAGTCAATTGTTAAGGATCACTTAAGGAATATCATTTTCTCAAGCAATAGATAGAAATAGATTTGAGTTTTTGAACTGTCAGCGTAGGCATAACTAACTGATTGTATTAATTTTGAAACACGCCATATCAAAGTTATTTTTGTGGAAAGTTATTGTGTCTTCTCTACAGGAAAACCCCGCTCTACAGACACCGCTTAATATGGACACTTCCGTTTGTCCCAACGAAAAGCTCATATATTTTCTCTTAAATTAACCCGCTTAATACGGACACCGGTTAATACGGACAACGGACACTTTCCTGTGTCCTGAGTCACAACCTCATGCATCGTCAACCTCGCTATACGGACACTGGCTATGTGCGCAACGGTCTATTCTAATTGTTACGATTGTATCGTAAGCAAATATGGTTCAGTCAACAAACAAACAGCAGCAAAGAAGCATGACATTTAAAGTGTAAAGAAGTTTCACGGCCTTTTTCAAGTATAGTAATTTCATTTCTTGTGTTTCAAGAACAATACTCATTAAAACTAATTTTAGGTTTCCATATATTACATGAACTTCTTACAGTTCCAGTTAAAAATGAAACTGTTTTCTCGGAGAAGTAATTGATTTAGTCTTTATTGAAAGGTCGTATGTCGGTGACGTTTTTTCTTACGGTCGGCTTTATATGGTATGTCTATTTAGTGTCATTAACCTGGATCAGCTGTACTTTGAAACTGCGGGATAAAAAAACAACAGTTTGCTGAAACAGTGTGATTGTCCCCACAGAGTACATGTAGTATTCAATATGTTTGAAAAATCGTGACCCAAAATATCCTATCTGAGAGGGTAGATGAAAGGCCCAAACCTTGCTGGTGGTCAATCCCATCTTTTAAAATAAAATTATATATGGGTCCACATAATGTTGATGTTAAAACTGAGATTTGAAAATGTCCCCACAAGCACAATGGGTATTTGTCCCCACAGGGAAGGATTGAAATTTTTAAAGATGTCATGTGTCGGGAGAAACGTTCGCGAGGAGTACTTTGAAATGCACATATCTTTATTTACCTACCTGACGGGGAAATGGGTGTCCCCAGAATGCAGGCATACATACATGGTCCTCACAAGTGAGCATTGGTATGTATGTATGTATGTATGTATATGTATGTATTCATGGCGACCCCCAGGTAACTCGGCGCTCATTCTTAATGTGGGAGCTTGAGCAGAGACAGAAGAATGCTAACCTTGGCCCTAAGCAAATTAAATGGCTGAGAGCAACCACGGTGAACCTCACCACTTAACAATCATCTTCATGTAGCGTGATCCAGTTGGTGCTCTGGTTGGTTACTAGGCGCCCACCTCCTCCCCTCCCCTCCCCTTCCCGACCCGACCCTAGCCTGCAAATCTGCCGTGGTCTTTTAAATGGCCCATTTTTGATATGACTGATCCAACACGAGCGTTTCAATGTATTTTTCCTAAATACAGCACTAATTTAGCTTTGTAAGGATATGGAAATCGTTTCTCTAGCCTCGATATAACGAGAGATGTGAGTTTTCT